GGTGGGTCCGGCGGAGCGAGGCACCGCGGGCACCTGAGATATAGCTCACCGCCCCTGGGGTGCTGTGATCTGCGAAACTGTCGCCACTTTCGAAGGCTGCTGGCGGGTCCAGCGGAACGAGGCACCGCGCGGACATGAGCGGGACCTCGCCGTCTTTGGGGGGCTGCGGACTGCGATCCTGTCGCCATTTTCAAAGGCTGCTTTTGGGTCCAGCGGAGCGAGGCACCGCGCGGGCCTGAGATATACCTCGCCGTCCCTGGGGGGCTGCGATCTGCGAGCCCGTCGCCATTTTCGAAGGCTGCCAGTGGGTCCAGCGGGGCAAGGCACCGCGCGGGCCGGAGGTCGACCTCGCCGTCCCCGGGAGGCTGCGATCTGCGAGATCGTCGCCGCTTTCAACGGCTGCTGGCGGGTCCAGCGGAGCTAGGCACCGCGCGGACCCGATGTGGACCTCGCCGTCCCTGCGGGGGGGGGGGGGGGGGGCTGCGATCTGCGAGCCCGTCGCCACTTTCGGAAGCTGCTGGTGGGCCCAGCGGGAGGAAACACCGCGCGGACCTGAGGTAGACATCGCCGCCCCTTAGGGGTGGGGTGTGGGGGGGGGATGCGATCTGCGAAACTGGCGCCACTTTCAAGGGCTGCTGGTAGGTCCAGCGGAGCGAGGCACCGCGCAGACCTGAGCGGGACCTCGCCGCCCCCAGCGGGCTGTGATCTGCGATCCCGTCGCCAATTTCGAAGGCTGCTGGTGGGTCCAGCTGAGCGAGTCGCCGCCCCTGGGGGCTTCGATCTGCGGGCCCGTCGCCACTTTCGAGGGCTGCTAGTGGGTCCAGCGGAGTGAGGCACCGCGCAAATCTGAGCGAGACCTCGCCGTACCTAGGGGGCTACGATCTGCAGAACTGTCGCCACTCTCGAGGGCTGCTGGTGGGCTCGCCACGTTCGAAGGCTGCCGGCAGATCCAGCTGAGCGACGCACCGCGCGGACCTTAGGTAGACCTCGCCGTTTCTGGGGGGCTGCGATCTGCGATCCCGTCACCACTTTCGAAGGCTGCTGGTGGGTCGGCACAGCGGAGTGAGTCGCCGCCCCTGGGGGCTGCGATCTGCGGAACTGTCACCACTTTCGAGGGCTGCTGGTGGGTCCAGCAGAGTGAGGCACCGCGCAGACCTGAGCGGGACCTCGCCGTCCCTGGGGGGCTGCGATCGATCTGCGACACTATCGCCACTTTCGAGGGCTGCTAGTGGGTCGGTCCAGCGGAGTGAGGCACCGCGCGGACCTGAGATATACCTCGCCGTCCCCAGCGGGCTGCGATCTGCGAGCCCGCCGCCACGTTCGAGAGCTGCTGGTGGGTCCAGCTGAGCGAGGCACCGCGCATACCTGAGCGAGACACAGCCGCCCCCAGCGGGCTGCGATCTGCGAGCCCGTCGCCACTGTCGAGGGCTGCTGGTGGGCTCGCCACTTTCGAAGGCTGCTGGTGGGTCCAGCGGATTGAGGCACTTCGCAAACCTGAGCGGGACCTCGCCGCCCCTGGGCGGCCATGTCATGTTGTTGCTGCCCCGCCGACGTTTGAAGCCCCCTTCCCACAGTCACCGTGTGGACCTCGCGTCTCCCTTGGTGACTCAGGGGTTTTCTTGGCTACCCATCGTTTTTCCCGTGCTTGGGGACCTGCGAACCTTCCGACTGCCGCCCGCAGAGATAGATGGGTCTATGTCACGTCGCCGCCTGCTCGTCAAATCTTCCAAGCTACTCCTGCCCCGCATTGCGCAAGAGTTGGGCGAGCCGCCTGTACTTTTGAACAAAAAGACTTCGTGCAACGCCTGCAGCTTGCAACCGTTCAGAAGAATGAGCCCAATAGTCGACATATGTGAAACAACGGTGCGAGTAAATACTTCTGACCATGTCCACGAACGGAGGTGGAAAGACAAAACGCGCCCAGGCAGCGCTGGGACTAACTGGCTTCAGTCGATCGAGAGCCTTCGCCCAGCCAAGAACAAGTATAACAAACCCACCACTGTTATCCGACAAAGCAGCGACGACCATGCGCCTCACTAGCATGAGCGCGCTGGCGGTCCCCCGACGTGGCTGGAATCCAAATCGTGAAGTTCGTAATCGGTCTTCAGATCCTCCTCAAAGTGGTCGCTGGTGCAGCATGGCCGCGAATGCTTTGTATCCAACAGGAAACAAAGAGATGGGTCGGTAATTACTGGGCAATTCCGTGTTCCCGATTTTGAACAATAGCACAACATTTGCCTTCCGTCGCATGTTTGGTATGTCTTAGGTCACCTGACATGTTCGACCTGTCTCGAAAGGTGTTTCGTAAGCATGTAGATCGAGCTGACACTGTCCAACCATATGACGGTGCATCATATGTCCTGGCCGCTTTCCCGTTTGTCATTATCTGTCATACGAACTGTAATTCCGTCAACGTAGCATTACCCAGGTCCACAGAGAGATCTGCACCGAGAGCATCAGTGGCTGTAGGCATGATGTTCGCGAACTGCACTTGCCATTGGATTTTCTCGAAGTTGTCCACCGAAACATTTCGACGCCCAGTGGTATTACCAAGGTGATTGTTAAGATCGCGTGCTCCAACATGCTTCGTTTGAGGCTTCTTCCGGAGTTTTCAACGGCGTCCCAATTGCCACCAACAAGCATAGAGTTAATCCAATTCGTATGGTCGGCCCGGGCGCTTTTCCGAATCAATGTGTTTGACATTGTTCACGTTCAGCGTCGCCAGATTGTCTTGTGGTGTTCCGCTTTTCGATTAAATCCTAGGTAACTTGCAATGACCATGGTTTGACTACCGGCTGCTGTCTGGTCCGCAAAGTGGTTGATGCAAAAACGAAAGAATGTTCAATACGATTGGCCAGCTCGTCCAACGCACCATGTGACACCGGATGGTCCACGTCTTCGCAGCACGTCCTTGACAGGCGTCCCGGCCGCACGAGTTGGTTTGGGCGCCGACGGAGACGACATATCAGCATGTCAGAGTTCCCAGCGTACGCAGTGAGAGGCGAGAAGAAAACAATGATGGATAAAATGTGAAAGCAGTGGCTGGAATTGATGGGTCGGGTACCTGAATGAGCCTTCCAGGTACCGAAAGCCAACGGGGCGCCGAAAACCAACGAGGAAAAGTAGCATCGACGCCTCCCCTCAGCCAGGGCCCTCCAGCTGGAAAAGCCAACAGAAGCAGGGGGGGGGGGAGCTTGAGAAGCCCCCCCCGCCCCTGTGGAAATGGGAGCCCAAGCTTACCCCAGGCCCCGAAAACGAGGGGGGGGGGGGGAAGCTTCCAGTCATTCCCCCCCTTTAGCTAGGGACCCCCCAGCTACGACATCCAAGTAAAAGGAAAGGGGAGGGGTAGCTTCAGAAGCCCCCCCACACCTTTGAAAGGGGAGCCCCGGCTGACCCCCGGGCCCCGAAAAGGGAAGGAGGGCGTGGGGAGCTTCCGAGCACCCCCCTTTAGGCAGGTCCCCCCCAGCTAAAAACTACCCACAACAGGGGGGATGGGGGGGGGGAGCTTCGGAAGCCCCCCCCCCGTTTTCCAAGGGCGGGGCGGGGTATCTTGAAGCTGGGGCCCCCCGTGTAGCGAGAGGGCTGCACAGAGCGCGATCCTTCCGAGTTCCGAGATCGGGTCGGATCGGACACAGCTCGCATCGCTGGCGACTATAGTCCCGAATCGAATCGACATCGGCTCACCACGCCTGGCTCCGTCTGGCCCCGGCCGACGCCTGCGAATCGGTAGGGAGACACCAACTGTACACCAACACCGATCCTGGGCCTAGGATCACCCTGGGCCCAGGATCGGTGCATATATGCCCTCCTGCCATGGGCAGAATGCATATACTGACTACCTACCAGACCACCCCAACCCAACCCGAAGACCCGAATTTCGGGTTGGGGGGGGTACGGGTTCCATATGTGTTTTCTCGATGTTCCCCGACCCCCCCCAACTGGAAATGGAGGGCAACTCGAGACCTTCGGGTTGGGTTGGGGTGGTTTGGTGGGTGGTGATATACACCGATCCTGGGCCCAGGATCGGCCTGGGCTGGATCGGTGTAGGTGTATAGCTGGTGCCCTCCGAAGCGGACGGAACCGCATCGCAGCGCCTCGGAAGCGCGGCCCCCGGCCGGCGCATCGAATAGGCATCGGATCGGCTCGTGGGCGGCCCTGGCAGCCCCCTTCGCAGGCCACATTGGAGCCGGGTCCATCGAGCGTGCAGGAATAGTCGGAGGAGGAGGAGGAGGAGGAGGAGGAGGAGGAGGACGGGGAGGGGGAGGGGGAGGGGGAGGAGGAGGGGGAGGGGAAGGGGGAGGAGGAGGAGGAGAAGGGGGAGGAGGAGGAGGAGGAGAGGGATAAGGAAAGAGAAGGGGGCGAGGAGAGGGAGGAGAAAGAGGCGGCAGGGACAGCACGAATGAGCAGCAAGACGTCATGGCCGGTCTCGCGTTCCCCGACGGCGGCAACGGCGAGGGCGGCGGCAAAAACAATCATGCCGATCACGGCGGCAACGGCGACGATGTTGGCGACGACGACGACGACGACAGAAGGACGACGACGACGACGAGGACGACGACGACGACGACGAGGAAGACGACGGCGACAACGACGACAAGAAAACGACGACAACGAGGACGAAGACGACGACGACGACGACGACAACGACGACGACGTCGACGACGATGATGACGACGACGACTCAGAACAGGGCGAGGTTGGACAACGGCAGCTCAAAAGCGGTCCTCGGACCCCCCCCCAGAGCCCAAATGCGAAAATTTCCCTAGCTGCGTCCAACCGTGGCGACGAGGGAGCCCCCGAAGGCCAACTACCGTCGTCTCAACTCACCCTCCTCTAACGACGACGACGACGACGACGACGACGACGACGACGACGACGACGACGACGGTGGCAGCAGCAGCGGCGGCGGCGGACGACGGTGGCGGCAACAGCGGCGGCGGCGGCGGCAGAGCCGCCTTGTCGGCCTCCCGCGTGGCGGCAACAGCGGCGGCGGCGGCGGCAAAGCCGCCTTGTCGGCCTCCCGCGAGGGCGCCACGCCGAGCTCGCGCAGACCGTGGCCGGTGTCGCCAAGCTGGCGGATCAGCTCCTTGACGTCTTTCCGGTAGGCGATGACCTCCTGCGAGCCGCGGTGACGGCGGCGACGGTGCCGAGGACGAGGACGAGGACGAGGACGAGGACGAGGACGACGACGACGAGGAAGACGACGGCGACAACGACGGCGACAACGACGACGACGACGACGAGGACGACGACGACGACGACGACGACGACGACGACGAGGACGACGACGACGACGACGACGACGACGACGACGACGACGACGACGACGGCGTCGCAGCCTCTGCCGCCGCCGCCGCCGTCGCCGTCGCCGTCGTCGTCGTGACGCGATGGCCGCCTGCGGGGCGCGCGGGCCCAGGCCCATCATGAGAAAGCCGCGGCTGGAGGGTTCTGGTCGCTTTCGGCCTCCAGGGGCCCCTGCCGGGCCCCAGGCCGGCCCGAGTACGGTAGGGGCAATGGATGAGGAACCCTTGGATGAGGAATCCAGGGTCTGGAAGCCAGTGGAACTCCAATCGTGGATCTGCCATGGATATCACCACCGTCCCCATTGGATGAGGAGTCCCCCAGGGTCTACAGCCTCTTGACAGCATTCCTTAACGAACGCCCCCAAGGTAAGACTTGGGACGAAAAGCGGGCCCGTGGGAGAGGGGGTCGAGACCTCTGGGGACAAGGGCTGTGACGAAATCGCGGCGTCGGGTGTCTTCAAGTAAGAGGTCGACGACAGAATAGACTTACCCAAAATCTGATTTCTCAACCGAATATACGAACAAAAATGATCCGTTGCTCGACGAGCAGTCCACGTGTTTTCCCTGGTAGCTACCGACGAGAATCGATTCTGGAGTTGTAGTCGATTCCCCTACAGTAGGGGCTCGACCACAGGAAACCTTCCGCCAGAAACCCAACCCTGAGACCCCAGGCCGTCCGTCGAGCTTTTTGGCCAGGGAGCGCCCCGCTTCCCGGAGCCAGACCATGGAAACCCAGGACGCCCAGGGCACCCTGGAGGCCGGCAGGGTGCCGCTTGGCACGGGTCTCCCCTGCACTCGACGTCGGGGGGGGGGGGTGCTCCTCGTTGGCCCATCAGCGGCGGAGCGCGCCCTTTCGTCGCCGGCAGGGTGTTGCTTGGCACGGGTCTCCCCTGCACTCGACGTCGGGGGGGAGAGGGGTGCTCCTCGTTGACCCGGCCCGCGGCGGAGCGCGCCCTCTCGTCGCCACGGCGTGGCGCTCAGCTCGAGCCGCTGGCTGGAACATGCCCGGGGTGGATGGGCCGATTGCTCACCACCACGACCATACGTAGGAGGAGGGAGGAGGAGGAGGAGGAGGAGGAGGAGGAGGAGGAGGAGGAGGGAGAGAGGGGGAAGGAGGACCTTCTCGTTCCTGCCTTCCTCCCCCCGCCCGCCCTGCCGTCAGTGGTGCGTGGAAAACTGGCCCATCCGGGATGAGCCCTCGGAGAGGTCGGGGGGAGGAGGAGGAGGAGGAGGAGGAGGAGGAGGAGGGGATGGAGGTAGGAGGAGGAGGAGGAGGAGGAGGAGGAGGAGGAGGAGGAGGGGAGGAGGAGGAGCGAGGAGGTAGGAGGAGGAGAGGAGGGGGGGGGATCCAGCGGGTGTCGGGGGGCGTCCGCACGGGCGCCTCGTCCGAGTGCCGGCTGCCCGGGCGCCTGCGGGTTCCAACGCTGCCGAAGACTGGGAGCCAATGTGTCCAGACGACTGCCGTCGGCACCGGTCTTGTGTCGGGCCTGTCCTCCTACAGGGGGATTTTCGACGAAAAATGCAGAAAAATACTACAAAAATGCCCTCAAAGGCAAAAAATACGCAAATAATAGTCCATCGACTATTTTTGATTATTTTTTGATATTTTTGGGGTACTTTTAAATTGTTCGTGGAAAATCCCCCTGTAGGGGGACAGGCCCCACTTAACACCAGACGCCCATTTTTTTGACATAAAAAAGACAATGGCCAACAACAAATGTTCCCCAAAACCGACAGCGGCCGCGGTCGGGCAGGCAGCCTTCTGTCTCAAACGGAGAACGTCCACGGCGGCGAGAGCAACGAGCCCCGTTCAAACTGGAGACGAACTGCCGTTGGGTTGGGCATCGCACCCAGCCTTAACGCACGTGCCGGCCAGGGTCCTCGTCCTCCTCCATCCGAGCCCTACCCCCACCAATCATGGACGTTCATATAAATCGGTGGGAGGCGGGGGTAGGGTTCGGGTGTCGCCACGCGTTCGAAGTCCGAACCCTGCCCCCGACGCCCATCGAGTTGCCTGAAGCGCTGATCGGCCCCAGACCCCCGACGTCGTGAATTTTTCATGACGCGACCCCGAGAGTTCCGGACCTATTCGCCGGGACCGGTTTTTCACCCCGAGTCGTTTTCTGACGGTCCTGAGGGCCGGTGAAGGCCCCCAGGGGCCGAAAACGTAGAGAAGCCTCCCGTCGTGACTCTTTCAAGACTCTGGGGGGTTCTGGGCGAGGGTGGGGCTCGCATTTCGCCGCAGATCGGCTTCGCCCGCCCAGCGGAGGGCGCCGCGTGGCCGCGGCGGCGGCGGCGATGGCAACCACTCGCAGGGCTCCCGGAGCACGAGCGGCCGCCTGCCGGCGGCAAAGCGCGGCGGCACGACGGCAGCGAGCACGGGCGCGCGGCCGGCCCCGCGGCCGTTCGGCGAGGTGCGGCCCCGGCCTGCGCCACTCTTAGAGGCCTCCTC